GGGCTTTTTGTGGTTGTGTGAGGTTCCTGCTTGTTGCAGGGGCCATTTTGGGTCTAGCACAGCTGCTTTTACATTGTGGTGAGCCAGTTGATGTTTTTTAATTTTTATTTGGTGTGCGTTGGAAGAGAGGTAGTCTTATACGGTGAGTATAGCCCAAACCCTATATTTTAACAAGAAAAGTTGGGGGTCGTCTTATATGCCCAGTCATCTTATACGCCAGAAAATACGGTACTAGAAATTAATGTAGGAATTTAGTAATATAGAAAACTGATGAAAGTATCAATCATCACCTAACAAATATATGTTAACCATATATGGAAAGCTGCTGTGCTCATATCAAATCCTTTGTCATGTTAAAGTATAAAAGCAATTGTATCAGAGCTCTTCTTGGTTCAGAATTGCAGATATAAATCTGATTCTGAAATTGCACAATAAACTGTCTCTGGTTGACCAGGAATGTTGTTTGGTCTCATCATTCCATAACAATACAGCAAAATTTCATTTGTTTGGAACTTAGTCAGTATTTAAAAGTTTAATCATTATTTGAATAATTATCCCCAAACTAATCTTTTTATGCCATATACTGTAGTATTTAATCAGGTGGGAGAATTCATTGCATTAATTGTTGAGCAATGAGTTGCATTTTGCCCTATAGATGTTTGTCTAAAAAGCTATTTTAACAATGATTTTTTCTGCTGGAAGAGTTTGTAGATTTTTATTATTTTTTACAAGCTACTGAATCACTTACTTTTGTGAAGGGAGGAACACATTATCCATGAAATTATGCTGTGATGGGTATATGGATAAAAATATTTATCTTCTAATTATTGAAAAGGCACAATAGGCTCCACTTGCAGTAAATAGGATGATAACAGATTTTTTTTACCCTGAATCAACTGCCTTGAAGATGTCATTTATTTATTATTTATTTATTAGTTTGATTTATATGCCGCCCTTCTCCGGAGACTCAGGGTGGCTTACAATGCGTTAAGCAATAGCCTTCATACTTTTGTATATACCTGCTTAGTAGGGCTTTTTTTGGCCCCCCTCTAAGCGGTGTTCTTTTTTATACAAAGTCAGCTTATTGCCCCCACAATCCGGGTCCTCATTTTACCTACCTCGGAAGGATGGAAGGCTGAGTCAACCTTGAGCCAGGTGAGATTTGAACTTGCAGTAATTGCAGGCAGCTAAGTGCTACTTAACAGCACTTTAGTCCGCTGCACCACCAAGGCTCCTTATCCTCATCCTCATCATCCTCCTGGTATGTTAGAAGAAACTATCTTCAAGAGAATTCAATAAGGAGCATATGAGCCAAGAGGATTTGCTACAGTTCTCCTTCAGATTAGGGACTCTGAAACAGGCTGGCTTGCTATCCCTCTGCAGACCTGGTCTCATCCAGTCAGGAATGTCCTCGTCAATGTTCATAAGGGCTATTGAGATGCTTCTTTTAACTAATGCTTTCAGGGCAGAAAATATCAGTCTTCTTTTATGATGTGAGCCATCTGAAATCTTGGCTAGGTGAGGCCATTTTTCAAATTTAGATGCATGTGTATCATTAATAAATGCTTCCTATACCAAGATTCTCTCTGAAACACTTGATATGTATTAACATGATAAATCTGCTATCATGAGAAGACCAGTTTATGCATATGAGCCACAGTGGTGCAGTGGTTAGAGTGCAGTACTGCAGGCTACTTCTGCTGACTGCCGGCTGCCTGCAATTTGGCAGTTCAAATCTCACCAGGCTCAAGGTTGACTCAGCCTTCCATCCTTCTGAGGTGGGTAAAATGAGGACCCAAATTGTTGGGGGCAATATGCCGACTTCTGTAAACCTCTTATAGAGGGCTGTAAAGCACTGTAAAGCGGTATATAAGTCCAAGTGCTATTGATATTCCCAAGATTACAAAAGCCAAGACTGATGGTTGGAAACTCAGCATCAAGATCTGCGTGTCACTTACAATTTTGGTAACACACTAGTGTTAAAACCAACAATGGACAGTTTAATTATGAACGATGAAACACTGCATTTGAGATTCAAATAGTGTATCAATGAGTATGGGAGAAATATGAATAGAACTAAATTAACAGGCATATCTGTAGTTTAGGGAAGAAAAGGGGACATTAAATGTGTTTAAGGGACGTAGTGATAGGAATCAGTCTAACCTTTGCTATTTGCTTCTGTTAAGAATTGCTTGTACTATTTTGCTACTGTTAGGAATTATTTATTAGGAATTAATTCTGTAACCTTTGCTTAGCAAGATTTGTAACCTTTGCTTTCTTGCTTCTGTTGTTCACTTCAAAGCTAGTTACATCCTTGGTAAGTAAATAAGAAAGATAGAACCCCGGAATATCCTGCTCCATAGATAACAAGGGCAGAGAAGGGGGCTGCCCAGGAGCACAAACACACAAGGCTACAAGGGATGCTTTGTAAGATAACAAAAGCATGGACAGGGCATGGACAAAGAATGCTCCATGGATAAGTGGGGGCATTTATTTATTTATTATTCGTATTTCTATTTATTTATTTATTTATTTTATCGGATTTATATGCCGCCCTTCTTCCACAAGGACTCAGGGCGGCTCACAACAATAAGCAGCAACAAGTCTAGATTAAAATTCAAACAATAAAAGAAACTAAAATTCCCATTAAAACCCCATTCAGTCCAGGCCAGCCTGGCGAAACAACCATGTTTTAAGGTCATGGCGGAAAGAACGAAGGTCAGGGGCCACCCGGAGCTCCAAGGGGAGCTGATTCCAGAGGGTAGGTGCGCTTACAGAGAAGGCTCACTCTCTCGGGGCCGTCAGCCGGCATTGCTTGGCCGACGGGACCCCAAGTAGGCCCTCTCTGTGTGAGTGCACCAGGCGATGGGAAGCTGTTGCTGGCCACAGATGATCCGCCAAATACCCTGGGCCTAAGCCATGTAGGGCTTTATAGGTGATCACCAACACCTTGAACTGCCCACCCTCCGAGGACTCTGGGCGGCTTACACCAAAGACAGTATACTAAATAGCATATTGCCCCCAACAATCTGGGTCCTCATTTTACCCACCTCAGAAGGATGGAAGGCTGAGTCAACCTTGAGCCGGTGAGATTTGATCCACTGATCTGCTGAACTAGCAGTCAGCTGAAGTAGCTGCAGTACTGCACTCTAACCACTGTGCCACTTCAGCATGGGCAAGACATTGCCTATGCTGGGTAACAAACTTTTGTCTCTGATTGGCTACATGTGGTTATACGAAACTGGGGTCACACTATTCTCGGATGTGGCTTTTTTCTTGCATGCTTGTTATCTATATGCCATGGAATAAGTCCACCCAGCTCTTTCTTTGTACAAATAAAAGCTGTTATTTTTTTAATCCTCTTCTTGTGTCTGTCTTTGGCATTCTGGTGACTCAAGTACATTTTTGGGACCTTACAGTGCTCTGTTCAAATATCTTCTATGAAATTATTCATGCCTATGGCAGGAAATACTGGATAGGCACAATATCAATTATGCTACTGAAGGCATTACCTTTTGGACTTGTTTTGGGAATGCATTTGAAACAGCGTTGATTCTTGTTGATTATCTGGAAAAGTCCCTGCACTTTTTTGGTAAGTTTTCTAAAACAAGTCTATTTCTTACACATTGTCTATTTCTTACACTGAGAGAAAGCGAGAGAGAGAGGGAGAGAGAGGGAGGGAGGGAGGGAGAAAGAGAGAGAGAGAGAGAGAGAGAGAGAGAGAGAGAGAGAGAGAGAGAGAGAGAGAGAGAGAACAAACAACTGGTCCAAGGTCACCCATCTTATGTCACGCCTAAAGTAGGACAAGAACTCATAGTCTCTCCATGACTAGAATGATGCCTACACTACACCAAACTGACATTCCAATTCATATATGTAAACATGGCAAGCAGAGAACTGTTGAAATTGAACATAAAAATATCCAGGGTCTGAGGCCAATGGATTTGTTAACTCTGCTGAAAGGAATGATTTTACCCAGGTCTGGATTGCCCTCTGGTATTCATTTACTAAATTCCCAGGATGAATCCTTAGGCTTCTGTCAAGAGACAGTTAGAGAAAAAGTTCCCCAGTCTCCCTGAAGTTTGGGATCCTCTGAGAATCTAGTGCTCTTCCAGAGTCGTTGATGTCAGTGGATGTAAGTAGACTACAGTATCAAATAATATTTCCCCCAGTGGACAGATTGCATAAAGACTTAGGTATGGCACAAGAATCTTCAAAGCCTCAAATTGCCACTAAATATTACAGCATTGTCAATTCTCTTTAAGAAGAAATATGTCATTCTATCTGAAATAATCAGAAAACCATTCACCAAGTAAGATCAATATCTCATAATTTATCAAAGGTCAGGTTTGGTGGTTTGATTCCTGATACTATGCATATTGAAGACAGAGAATTTAATTTTTAAATGATGCTAAGTAGGATGCTATGAGAGTTTTATTTTAATTTTTTAATGCAAAAATGCATTAACATTTAATTCTTTTGAACTAGAGAGAGATGATGCCTGAAATTTCTGCACATATGTATGTACCTGTCTAGATGGAAAATGACATTCTTTATATAACATGAATGGATTACAATTGATGATAAGCAATTAAAAGAAACAGTGTTTAATGGGAAATTGAGCTGGCTTTATCCTAAACTGGTTTTCTTGGAATTGTAATCTTCCAGGTACTTGGGGATTTTACAATTGCCCGTCATAATCTCAAGGCATATTCAATTCTGAAAATATCCATAAATCAGTTGTCAGAAAGGTTTATTGAATGGTCGACTAACATGATATAATCAAATGCAAAGTGTATAAGAAATACATTTAAAAACAAAATTTAATTGCAGTCTTCCTTATGTCTGAAGATTTGATTCAATTTACTATTTCTGAATAAACATTAAGGAAATGGAATAAAGGTCATTAGGATGAGTAGCCTACTGAATTGTTAAGAATAATTCTTTAATTCTTTATTTAAAGTCCACTTTTGTTCCCAGGTTTTAACATGAATGATACCATGAAAACAGACAACCACTCCTGTCTCACCGAAATTGTCCTCTTGGGTTTCTCGGATTTCCAGACTTGGCAGGAACTTTTGTTTTCCCTCATTCTAATATTTTACCTCATAGCCTTGATGGGCAACAGCCTGGTTTTACTCCTCACCATTTCTAGTCCTACCCTTCACACCCCAATGTACTTCTTCCTCTGGAACTTGTCCTTTTTAGAAATTGGCTACACCTCCTCTATCAGCCCAAAGATGCTAGTGAATTTATTATCAGAAAGACAAACTATATCATTTTGGGCCTGTGGATGTCAAATGTATTTCTTCCTTCTCTTTGGTGTCACCGAGTGTTGTCTTCTTTGTGTCATGGCATATGACCGCTATGTTGCTATTTGCAAACCTTTGCAATACCCCTGTATCATGAATTACAGGGAATGTGCTATACTTGCTGCTCTGTCATGGGCCACTGGTGTTTTTGTAGGTTTGGGGTACTCGGTTTTAATCTTCACCTTTCCTTTCTGTGGTTCAAATCAAATTAGCCATTTCTTCTGTGACCTTATGCCTGTTCTGAGGCTGGCATCTACCTATACCTACAAAAATGAGGTGGCCATTTCTACATTAACAGTGCTAGCTGACTTGATACTCTTTTTGCTCATCCTTTATTCCTACATCCTCATCATCTCAACTATTCTCATGATGCCACTGGCCAAGGACAGGCGCAAAGCCTTCTCCACTTGTTCCTCACATCTCACTGTGGTCTGCATTTTCTATGGAACTATCATTTTTACTTACCTTCGTCCCAACTCAGCAGATTCTGTGGACAGTAACAGGATTTTTGCCCTGCTCTACACTGTGGTGACCCCAAGTTTGAACCCCATCATTTACAGCTTGAGGAACAAAGAGATAAAAGCTGCTTTCATGAAATCAATAAGAAAGAACCAGTCTTCCTAAGGTAATAATTGAATCAATTGGTTTTATCAGGTTACAACTGTCCCACAGATATTTGTAGAATAAACCTTATTCTACAGTTGTCCTCTCAACTCTGGAATAACTCAGAGCTGGGAATTGATTTGCTTAAAAAGGAAGGAAGGAAGGAGGAAGGAAAAAGGGGGAGGGAGGGAGAGGGAGAAAGATAGAGAGGAAGAGAAGGGGTGGAGGGATTATTTTGAAGTTGATTATTTTGGTGGTATTTAAGTAAAGGATTCATTGGCCATTTTCTTACAAGGAAGGCTGCCAGACATCTCAGAGAAATGCAGAGAGAGGGAGAAGAAGGAGGTGGTATGAAGGGCAGAAGGAAGAAGGTGAGATGCCATATATGTTATCTGGTCAGCCACAGTTAGACCCCACCTAAGTAGTCCAATTGAAAAGTGACTGAAGCAGGTGATCAGCCCCAACCAGCAATGATTGCAAATTGTGTACAAGATATATCTATGCATATGGCCATGGATTTTAAACGCAAACAGCACAGCGGTGGGTTCTAAAAATTTTTACTACCGGTTCTGTGGGCATGGCTTATTTTCTGGGTGTGGCTTGATGGTCATGTGACAATTATTTAGGATTTAGCAGAGGTACTGGTTGACCAGGCTTTTAACTGCTTGCAGAGCTGTACCAATCTACCCATTTATTTTTGCAGGCACTGATCTACTCATGTATTTTTGCAGGAACTGATCTACTCATGTATTTTTGCAGACACCGGTTTACTCATTTGTTTTCTTTTAACAGTGATCAGCTGTAGGGCGGCCCTTTGAAGCCCCGTCACAAGAATTTAAACAGTTTTTTTTCCCTCTAGCCATCAGCTGGGACTCAGAAGGCAGCAATAGTTTGGGGGTGGGGCCAAATAAAAGGTAAGAATAATGTCAATGGGTGGGTGGGGGGGGGAGGGTGGGGGGGGCAGAACCAGTTCGGTGATGTCATATTGTCACTGCTACCGGCTCAAAAATGCTTGTCTAAAAAGTTATTGTGAAATTCATTTTTCTCTAGGAAGATTTTATAGATTGTGTTAGAAGCTACTGGGTCACCAAGTTCTCAGAAAGGTAGATCATGTAATTCCTGAAATTCTACTGTTATGCATAGATGGATAAGAATATTTATTCTCTGATTTTTAAAAAGAAACAAGGGAGCCCAATTTTGATGAACTGGATGTTTCCCTGAATGAGCTTCTTGGAAGATGTTGTCCTGATGAGGTGTTAGAAGAAATCGTCTCTAAGAGGATTCACCTTCCAGATTCCATCTGGAAGACTTTGTTCCATGAAGTCTGGATGGCCCAGCTTCTCAGAGTCCAAGATCATTAAATATTTCTTTTCTATAATGCTTTCAGGGTAGGGGATACCAGGTATCTGAAGACTACTGTCCATTGGTGTCTCATTTCATGTGAAGGGAAGTTTTTCATGTTTGTGAATGGGATTGGTTAATGATAAAGAATGAGAAATATTGTATGTTCATGGATATTTTTGATCATCTTGTTTTTTGATGTGAACCACCTGAAATCTTGGCTAATGGAAGCCGCTTGACAAATGAGAGTGTAATATCAATTAGTGTTCCTTTTGCTAGGATCCTTTCTGAACATGTAATAACACGATAGCTTGATAAATGAATACGAGAGGGCAATCTAGACTAGTGGTGAAATCCTCCTCAGATTGCCACCGGTTCGCTGTCTGTGCATGCATGGTGTGTGCCAAATGGATGCTGCGTGCACACATGTGCGGTGCATGCCAAAAGCACACTACACTCACACATGCACAGCATGCACCAAAAACACACTGCATGTGCATGCCTGGTGCATACCAAACACGCTTTACACAGAAAAATAAGATTTCACTAGGTAAGTAGAACAGTGAGGGGGTGGGGAACAGCTGTGTCGTGCGATTTACCTTCACTAGAAAGCAGGATTTCCTAAACCGCGTGGCATAGCTGATCGTCAGAAATATCGGTTCGGATGAACTAGTAGCTTTTTTAAACTATCGGTTCCACCGAACTGGTAGCTTTTTAAACTACTGATTCGCCCGAACTGGTAGCTTTTTTCTACTACTCGTTTGCTCGAACTGGTAGTTTTTAATTGCTACTGGTTCGCCCGAATTGGAGCAAACCAGTAGCATTTCACCTCTGATCTAGACCTACGAAAAAATTTCTTACCACAGAATTAGCAACCCCATTGGCCTCAGACGCTGTATATTTTCACATCCAGTTTCCACAATTCTCTGACCATTTGTCATGTTGGCTTATCTTATAGGAACTGGGGAGCCAGTTTGGTGTAGTGCTTAAGGCACCAGGCCAAAATGGGGAGGCTGTGAGTTCTAGTCCCACCTTCAACATAAGACTCTATCCCAGCTTTACAGAGAAGAGTTAAAACCTGCCTCTTTCCCCAGGTTTTGAGATAAGTTTGAGGTCATGACAGTGTGAAATGGTGGAATCAGGTTTTTCTTTTTCCTTTTTTTACTTCAGTTGTGTTTTTGTATATTGTTTAATATTATTTTATTGGTTGCAAGGTGCCTAGAGTTGTTTGACGATGGGTAGCTACATTGATGTTTATATAAATAAAAAAAGACTACAGGAAAGGAGGTTGGGACTATACATATTCACTACAATAATGATGTATAGATATCAACCATTCCTGCTAGGGAACAGGGGGCTTTTAATTTATTTATTATTCAATTTATATGGCTACCTTTCCCAAACAAATGACTCTGGGTGGCAAACAATCATAAAATCAAGTAAAAGCAATTACTAAAAGAATACAAGAGATTTTTTTTTCTCATGGGCTGAGAAAAAATTATAACCCATAGGTCAGGGGTGCTATTCAGCAGGTTCTGACAGGTTCTGAAGAACCATTAGCGGAAATTTTGAGTAATTCGGAGAACTGGCAAATATCACCTCTAGCTGGCCTCAGAGTGGGGTGGGAATGGAGATTTTGCAATATCCTTCCCCCAGGAGTGGGGAGGGAATGGGGATTTTGCAGTATCTTTCCCCTGCCACGTCCACCAAGCCACACCACACCACGCCCACAGAACCGGTAATAAAAATAATTGAATTCCATCACTGCCATAGATGTTAATACAACTAATTAAAAGTGTTCCTTGACAGAGTCATGACTCCAAGCCTGGGTGCATAATCAGGTCTTTAAGATGTTATGAAAAGCCAACACAAATCATCCTAATCTTCAGAAGGAGAATGTTTCAGAGGGCACAAAAAACATGTCTGCTAGTCATGTCCCAGCTGACATACTTTGGCTGAAGGAACTGAGCATGCCCATCCTGCTGGAGCAGATTGGACAGATAGAAACAACTAGGAGAAGTCAGTGCCTCAGGTGGGTCTAGGATAATAAACCAGGAGCAGATGTCTGACTCACGCCATGGTGAGTCTCCCACCGCAACTGACCTATCATGGGCATTTATCATCAACTGGCCCTCTGCCAGCACATCTCCCCTGCCAATGGTCTGCCGGCACTCGTCTAATGCACCCTTCTACTGGGCAATTTGCCAAAAGGTACCCGCCAATCCACAGCACAGAACAAGTAACCGTGCATCTCCACTCTGCCTTCTCATTGGACACAGTCCCTTTTTGGTTCGGCTTCCTGAAAGTGGAAAGTGGAAAGAGAGGGGAAACCCGTTGCACTTTGTGGGCATGCAGGTGGCTCAGATGGTGAACATCTGCTTCCTTCCAGATGCCGTTGTAATGAGCCCCTTGGCTGTACGCTGCAGATTTGTAGCAAAACAGCAGGTGGATATGTGGAGATTCATGGTGCCTCTGAAAGGAGAGATTGGCTAATAATAGATTCCTTCCCATATAGTCAAGGCTATGGTTTTCCCAGTGGCAATGTATGGCTGTGAAAGTTGGACCATAAGAAAGGCTGAGTGCCAAAGAATGGAGGCCTTTGAACTATGGTGCTGGAGAAGACTTCTGCGAGTCCCTTGGACTGCAAGACGATCAAACTGGTCAGTCCTAGAGGAGATCAACCCTGACTGCTCTTTAGAAGGCCAGATCCTGAAGAGGAAACTCAAATACTTTGGCCACCAAATGAGAAGGAAGGACTCACTGGAGAAGAGCCTAATGCTGGCAACGATTGAGGGCAAAAGAAGAAGGGGACGGCAGAGAACGAGGTGGCTGGATGGAATCACTGAAGCAGTCGGCGTGAGTTTAAATGATCTCCAGGGGATGGTAGGGGACAGGAAGGCCTGGAGGAACATTATCCATGGGGTCGCAATGGGCCGGATACGACTTCACAATTAACAACAAAGATTCTTTCCAAGCACAGTCAGAAATCAGGAATTTGTTTTCAGTTTCAGGATCAGGCTTCCTGGCTTCTGAAGACTATGTCAAAAAGGTTTGCATAACAAGGCCCCCAAGAAAGAAGCATGATAAATGTGAAGGACTCTCTCAGAAAAGGAATTATCAAACACCCTCTGATAGCTTCTCCGACCGAGCGTAGCCTCTGTAATTATAGTCAGCAAAAATAAAATGAAAACAAACTACACCAAACTGGATCTCCAATTCATATAAGACAAGTAAATATGGCAAATGGTGACAGGATTGTGGAAATTGAATGTGAAAATATTCAGCTTCCGAGGCCAGAGGGGTTGTTAACTCTGTGGTAAGGAATGCTTTTCCCCAGTTCTAGATTGCCCTCTAGCATTCATTTACCAAATCCCCAAAATGAATCCTTGGGCTTCTGTCTTGTGATCTTGTTAAAGAAATAGTCTCTTGTTTCACTTCAGTTCCTCAAGGAATCCAGTGGCTCCTCCAGAGATGAGAATGTTGGCTGATGTAATCAGCCTTAATAATATGAAATATATGTATTTCAGAGGATAGATTGCATAAAGACTTAGGTATGGCAGAAGAATCTTGAAAAACTCAAATTGCTAATGAATACTTTTAATTTTTTGTAAGAAGAAACATTTCATCTATTTGACATCATCAAAAAACGTAAGATCAATATCTCATAATTTACCAAGGGT